TTGTCAGGCAGTGGGCATGTTGCCTGTCATCCTTCAGAGGGAGGCCACAATGTCTGAAATAGTTGGGGAAGTGTGCTGCACTTGGACCCTTCTGTCAGTTGCGTATTGGAGTGGGTGCTGGAAGTCTTCCACAGGGTTATTTTAAGATTGGTTCAGATCAAGCCAAGGTACTCTCTCAAGGGACAGATGCAGGGCTCCTTCCCTTGCTTCTCAGGCCTTTGTCTTATGCTTGGCTGGCACAGCCTCCCATTCCTTTGTCATTGCCCTATTCTGTGACATGCACCTTCTTTGAGGACTCTGCCATGCTGCCTTGAAGTTCTTTGTTTTCTCTGGAGGGCCCTCCCCACACTTCAAGTATGCACCAAGTCCCTCAGTTGAAGTCACTGGTCTTGGGTCTGGGAGTGACCTTTGTCAAGCCGCTTTGAATGCCACACCCTTTCCATTTTGGGTGCTTGAAGTTTCTCTGTGTATGCTGGGTGCCCCCCATGTGCCTTCTCTGTTCCTTCCCTCTTCTCTTTAGGACTGGGCCAGTGGCCGGGGTGTAAAATCCTCAGTGATAGTGTACTTACCCACATGAGTGAGGCTCTGCTGTGGGATGTCGTTCTGTATGCTGCTGTGTATATGTGCTGCTCTGATTTGGTTGATAAATAAAACCCTGATTGGCCAGTAGCCAGGTAAGGCAGGAAGTATAGGTGGGGAAAACAGGAGAATTCTGGGGAGAGGAAGAGCTGAGTCAGGAGTCTCGAGCCAGGCACAGAGGAAGCAAGATGGCAAGGCAGAACTAAGAAGAGGTACCCAGCCATGTGGCTAAACACAGATAAGAATTATGGGTTAATTTAAGTGTAAAAGTTAGTCAGTAATAAAGATGGCAAGGCAGAATTGAGAAAAGGTACCCAGTCATGTGGCTAAATACAGATAAGAATTATGGGTTAATTTAAGTGTAAAAGCTAGTCAGTAATAAGCCTGAGCTAATGGCCAAGCAGTTATAATTAACATAAGCCTCTGTTTACTTGGGGGATGCAAGTGGGAGAGATTTTTGTTCCAACCGTGGGCCAGGCGGGACACAGGAAAACTTCTGGCTCTGGGTTCACCCCCAACACTGCCAGTATTAACATACATGGCAGTCATCTAGCCAGCCATTTATTCTTAGTCATTCTCATTGTTTCAGCTCCTTTGAACAAGATGCTATCTGGGATATGTGACAATAGCTCTTTAAGAGGGTCTTGGGTAGCCCAGGCGGGCCTACAATCTCTTCCATAGCCAAGGATGACCTTGAACTTATCTTCTGTCTCTGTCCTGCGTGTACCACCACACTAGGTGCTACACCCCAGTGTGACAGTACCCAGGGACTTGTGTGTGCTGAGCAAATTTGATCCCCAACCTGTCAGCATCATTCTTCATCTCTTCCTCGATGCTGTCTCTTCCTGGCCTTGAACTCATGATCCACCTGCCTCAGCCTTGTCTTTGGATAGTAGCTCTGTTTTGTTAGAGTAAAATTGACTTTTCCCAGGGTTTTCGCGCATTCATACGTGCACCATGAAGGTACAGCATTGAATTAAGTCTCAGTCTGTCTGCTTTGTCTTTCTGCCCCTTCCTCTCCTTCCCCAACTAATTCTTTCTCTTCTCTCCTCACTGTGTGGCACACAGAAAGGAGTTGTTATGGAGGGAGACAGTGCTGGAGGGAGGGATGGAGTTGGACTTGCTATAATGGGCATAGAACTTGTTTCTGGGATATAAAGCTTTATGAAATTAGGAACTGCTGCTGATACTCACTCATGGTGGAGTGCTCACCTTTCAGACACAAGGCCATGGATGTGTTCAGTTGCAAAGAGCAGTAGCAGCAGCAACAGAAGCCTTAATTCAGCTCTGGTAACAGTTGTACAACATTAAGAATGTACTAAAAGTCACTGGGTGGTGTGTCATGAAATGGAAATTGTATGGTGTGTGAATTATGCCAGTGAAGCCGTCACATCTCATCTCTGGAGGCGAGGACCTTCATGAGGATCTTAGGACAGAGAGCAGGAAGACTCCCCGAAGCATAGTGCTGTGGTGTATTAGGTACTCAGCTAACGGATGTTGTTGTTCTCGGGGAAACATTTCCATGTTTTCAATACATTGGAGCCTTTCTTCATTGCTGTATATCCAAAGTACTGCCCACCATGTGGTTTGCAACTAGTAATACTTGTTGAATAAATGCGATTCCTTCAAAATTTGTATGTGTACATGTGCATATACGTGCCGTGGTGAAGTGTGTCTGAGGACACCTTGTGGGGATCAGTTCTTTTCTCCCACCTTTTTGGTCCTGGGGATACTCAGGTCTCCCTGCTGGTTAAGCCTGATGGCAAGTACCTTTACCCACTGAGCCATCTCAGATGCCCATAGCTACAGATCTTAGGGTCTCTGCAGCCTGGGTAGCCTCCATGTTGTCTTCTTGCCTCCAACAGCGGTGGTTATAGACATATGCCACCATACCTGGCTTGGACCAGTGTTTTCTTTTTAATAATTTAATCATTAACTCTATCCCTCTCTCACCTCTAATTTCTCTCATCACCCCCTCAAATTCATGGCCTCTTTATTATTGTCACACACACATGCCCACAAATACACAGTCAGGATTGGTGGTGTACTCAGGAGGCAGAGGCAGGTGGATCTCTGAGTTCTAGTTGAGGCCAGCTTGGTCTATGTAGTGAGTTATAGGACAGCCGGGCTGCATAGAGACACCCCGTCCCCTTTTTAAATAAAAAAGGGGAAAACAAGAATGAGTGAATATATAAATACAACCCACTGAATCTATTGTAGTGTTGTTTGTATGTATTTGCTTTTGGGACTGACCCCTTGGTATTGAATAAACAGTTGGAGAAGATTTAATTCTCCCTCTCCCATCAGTCATTATCAGCCTGTAACTCTTCATCTATGTGTGAGGCTCCAAAAGCTTTCCTTCCCCATCTGTGTTAGTTGACTGGAGATCTCACTGTTCAGGTCCTGTTCAGGTAGCTATATTGTCGAGATTTCGTGGGTATGACTTCCTTGCCATGTTGGGAGGCATCATCTTACAGCCGACTTATTTCTCTGCTCCTTTGGCTTTTAGCTGTCTTCCCTCTCCTGAGATGTTCCCCGAGTCTCAGGTGGAGGGGTTGTGTTGTAGATGTATCAACTGGGACTGGGTCGGCCACACGGACCTGTGTTTTTAGCCAGCCTACAGTAGTAGGATTGAGTGACATGGAGATTTCCACAGCCTGTGGTTGGTGCTTCCCTTGAGGATGGGAAGACTCCAGCTGGGGAGGCAACCGGTCTGCACAAATTCTAGGGGAGAGCGGGGCCAAAATATTTACTTCTCAGGCGTTGTCCTAGTAATATTCTTGGATATACTACTTTGTCTGTCTGTCTGTCTGTCTGTCTGTCTGTCTGTCTGTCTGTCTGTCTGTCTGTCTGTCTGTCTGTTCATACTTCTCAGGCATTTTCCTTGTAAAATCCTCAGACATTTTACTTATTCTGTCTGTCTATAAATATGTCTGTATTTCTCAGGCATTTCCCCCACTGCTAATATTAGATATCTATCTACCTACCTGCCTATCCATCCTAGTGTGCAGGTATGTGCCCTAGCTTGAGTGGAGGTAAGGGGACAGTTTGCTGGAGTCTGTCCTCTCTACCCCGTGGGTCCCAGGGTCTCAGGTGGTCGGGTTTGGCAGCAGGCACCTTTCCCCACTGAGACATCTCGCCTGCATGCTTTTGTGTTTTTGAAAGAACTTCCTGACTGCGCATGTGTGGCTGTTAGTGGTTCAGATCCCTGGTCAGCAGAGGACTTCATTTTTTGTTGAAAATGTTCGGTTCTTAGAAATGTGTAGGTTTAACTTAGTCTTTTGTCTGCCAGTCTTATGTAATGGTTCCTTTTAATATAAGAAACTGTTTTTCTCTGAAGTATGTTTTAAAATGCATATCCTTTCCACTAATAACACTAAATTACCTTTACAATCGTGTCACTGGGTACCATCTGATTATCGAGGCTCAGGCAAAGAAACGTGTGTGTGTGTGTGTGTGTGTGTGTGTGTGTGTGTGTGTGTGTGTGTGTGTGTGTGTGTTTTATAGTTTAGACACAGGGTCTTTCTAACATAACCTTATTTTAAACCCTTGATCTTTCTACCTTGGCCTCCTGAGTGTTGGGATAATAGGTGTGGACTATCATGCCTACCTATGTGGTGTGTTTTTTGTTTGTTTTTGTTTGTTTGTTTGAGACAGGGTCCAACTGTAGCCCTAACCAGCCTGGAATTTGCTTTGTAGATCAGACTAGCCTCATTTTCAGAGCTCTACCTGCTTTTGTCTCCCTATCCAGTGCTGTGATTAAAGTCATGTGCCAGCTGGAATGGTTTCTTTCCCTCTGATCACCCAGGGAATGGTTGAGCCTTCTCCAGTCTTCCTGCACTGCTTGATGAATACCTTTTTTTTGGGGGGGGGGACAGGGTGGGGTGGGTGGATTTGGGGCTTTTTTCAAGACAGTGTCTTACGATTTAGCTCTGGCTGTCCTGGAACTCACTATGTAGACCAGGCTGACCTCCAACTCACAGAGATCCACTTGCCTCTGCCTCCCAAGTGCTGGCATTCAGGCATGCAGCACTATGCTTGGTGAACACTTGTTCCTGTTTTATTGTCTTTGTTGGGACCTTGGTGCCCAGGCTGTGGCTTACCTCCAGTGCTTCTTTTTTTGCGTTCCATCTGTCTCCTCATTGTAATCTTAGCCATTCTTCTATTTTTGCCTGTGATATCTCTAAGCGTTGCTTTTTATAATCTACAGGCATTAAGTAATCAACAGAGTCCTGTTGTAAGAACCAATATTAAAACACTGTTACACCTCTTTTCAACTTTGCTGCCGTGTCCTGGATGATGAGCCAAAAGGCTTGGGAGACGGATCTCACAGAGCCCAGGTTGGCCTAGAACTTGCTGTGCCAACACCCATCTTGGAAGCCTTCTTGAGTGTTTTTTTCCCCATCTTCTCTTTTAAACAGAAGTCGGTGACACAGCAAAGCAGTACCTAGAAAAAGGTCTTTTGGTTCCAGATCATGTGATCACACGCCTAATGGTGTCAGAACTGGAGACCCGGAGCTCCGAACACTGGCTGCTAGACGGTAAGTGGGTCATGGGCAGGCTGGGCTTTTAGCACCCATGATCGTTCTCATAGTTTTTACAGCTGCCCCTCTCCCAGACCTGACGTTGATTTCACATTATAATTTGGCAACATGGAAATCCAGTGTGGTGACAGCTCTTAAGTTTCTGCCTGCTGACCGTTACTGTGAAAGCTTTGACCTGAGGGAAGTCCGCAGCCATTGCCTTAGTTCCATGGTGTCTTTGATGAAGTTACACTGGGTGTACCATCTTAAATTAAGAGGTGTTTTCATTCACCGTGGTTGTCTAGAAATCCTATATTGGTTATAGAGGAAGGTGATTATAAAAATGGTAGCCTTAGCCAAATATGTTTGTGTGTGGGGGGGGGGGGTACCTCTTATCTCTGCCCTTGGAAGGCTGAGGCAGGGGATTTACAGCAAGTTGTAAGCCAGCCTGGGCTATCATAGTGAATAGGTCCTTTGTGGAGCAGTGAGGTGCAGTGTGTTCTTAGGATCCAGCCATTCCATTGTTGGGAAATAGTTAAAAGATGTGTTCTATTCTTTTATGCTGTGGAATGTTTGTTTAAGGATGCAAAGATGTGTTGCATTCTTTTATGTTGCATTTGTAAAGCTGTTGTTACTTTGCCTGCCTAAAACACCTGATTGGCCTCATAAAGAGCTGAACGGCCATCATCAATAGGCAGGGCTGCCAGGCAGAGAGAATAAATAGGAGAAGAATGAGAGAGAGGGAGAGGAGGAGCGAGGACACCAGGGGCCAGCCAACACAGCCAGCTGTGGAGTAAGAAGTAAAGAAAGAAAGGTACAAAGAATGGAGAAAGGTCAAAGCCCAGAGGCAAAAGATAGACAGGCTCATTTAAGAAAAGCTGGCTAGAAACAAGCCAAGCTAAGGCCGGGCATTCATAAGTAGTAACTCTCCATGTATTATCTGGGAGCTGGGTGTCGGGCCCCTAACGAGCAAAGAGTAAAATAACCAACTACATTCCATTCTGAATTTCTGCCCAGGGACGCGTCTTCAAGGATGTTTACTTAACCTCCTTTTTGGTAAACAGTTTAAGACACTTTTTTTAAGGTGCTATTAGCTGTCTCAGGAAAGGGGTAAGCTGTGTAAAGAAATGTTAAAAAAAAAAAAAGCTATAAATACTGTAATAGAAAACATAAGTTTTATGGATCTCTGAGGACACAGGGGAGAACATTGTTTTCCTGATGAAGGAAAGGGTTAGGTTAATTATTTTGGAGGTGAGTGGGGGGCTGCTCAGTGGTTAAAGAGCATTTCCTGCTCTTATAGGGAACCTGGGTTTGCTTACCAGCACACACACGGTAGCTCCAATTCTGGGGGATCCAGGAACTTCTGGCCTCCTGGGGCACCAGGCATGTAGACGGCACACATGTGAACATGCAGGCCAACATTCACACACATAAAATGTAGTTGAGAAGATGGATGTTCCCCAGGTAGAAAATGTGGTTTAGAAAATACGGATTTGAGTGGGAGGGTGGGTACAGAGCAAGTGGGACATGACTCAGCCTAGCATTTTCTGAGCTTTGAGGAAAAAGAAAGGCAAAGAAAATCCTTTGGATTTTGTGTCTTGTTACTCGAATTGTACGTCACTGTGATCAAATAACCAAGAAAAGCATCTTAATATTAGGAGTACTTAAAATATCTTTATTGCTACATATTACTCGCATGAAGTTTTGTACATAAATATGTGGGGTTTTTTTTATATTTGCTCTTCATCTGTTGTCTCACTCCAGCTGAGCTCCCCTTTCCCCAACTAGTCCCCATTCTATTTTTCTGTTTCATTTTTTACTTTTTTATGTGTGCCCCGGTGAGTTTAATTAAGGAGCGTGGGTGAGGGCTTATTTACAGGAGTCCGGGCGACTTCCCAGCCGCTGCGCCACTGAAGCAAATGTCTTTTTCTCCTGGAGCAGCTCCACTAAATTGCCTGTGAGTCTGCGGGGAGTGGCAGAGCCTTGTGAACGAACCTTTCCAGGACAGAATGCCAGTGGGCCCAGTTTTAGGCAGGAGCGTTCAAAAGCGCAGAGGCCATGTCATGCCTAGAAGATGGCATCCCACACCTCTTCTCACCCTGTTTTAATCAGTGTTCCCATTGCTGTGATTAAACACCACAACCAAGAGTCATTTGTTTACACTTCTCACATCGCAGTTCATCATAGAAGGAAGTTAGGGGAGGAACCTGGAGGCAGGAGCTAATGGATTTACTTGCATATTCATTCAGCCTGTTTTCTTGTAGCACCCAGGACCAGGAGTGGCCCCACCCACAACGGGCTGGGCCCTCCCACATCAACCACTAATTAAGAAAATGACCTACAGGCCTGCCGACAGCCCGTATGGAGACAGTTTCTCAATTGAGGTTCCTTCCTATCAGATCCTGGCTTGTGTCAAGTTGACACAAAAGTAGCCAGCACACACTGCAGTTCTGTGGTGTTTTCTAAGCCTCGGTGGATGTGGTCATGGGTGTGGAGAGGTTGGTAACACAGATGCCCTGTTTCGGGATGAATTCTAAATAGTCACGTATGTTTGAACAGGTAACGGCTTCTACTTGAACTGCCGCCCATGGCAGACAGAAGCCTCTTTGAGAAAACCTGATGGCGGCACTAACCCGTGGTCATCAACATAAATACTTAGAAGAAGTCAGTTTGGGAGACAAGACCCATCATCATGTCCACTTAGCGGAACAGCAGCAGTTGCGTTCTCACTAGGCGTTTGAACAAGTTTACAGTACCAGAGGTGAATTCCTTCCTGTGGGTTGAAGCTCAGATCCAATCAGAAAGCAGTTGGTTATTGTCCCCCAAAGCAGGGCTACCACTGTTGCATCTGTTGGTTGGCATAGTTCGCCTGGCAAGTCCCGTGCAGGGTTCACAGCTGAGTGACACTTCACACCCAGCAGTGGCACTATATAGGTGTACACTATTGTACTCATTCCCCAAATACTTGGGGTGTGTGTGTGTGTGTGTGTGTGTGTGTGTGTGTGTGGATGTATTTGGGATGAGCTCTATATTTGCTGATACCTGCCAGTAATTCCTTTTAAAGTTCTTTAATCATAAGGGCTCATGCCTTGTGGAATAAAATTTGTGTACTTTTAGGGGTCATTATCTCTATTAAATTTCCCTCAAGAGGTGGCTAATGGGTATCGGGGCCAGACTGCTCCTCTTGAATCTTAACTCTCCTTCCAGACGGTGTGTGTAACCTTGGGCAGGTCACCATGCTCTTCTGTGCGTTTGATTCATTGTGGACGATGAATTAGGAAAGAGATTAAGGATGAAATAAGATGACTGGATGTAAAAATCCTCAGAAGTATAACATTTGAGTAAATGCCATGAGGGTTTATGTGTTTGGCATGGCTAGTGTACAGGGCCTGGGTTTTTTTTGTTTTTTGTAGGTTATTACATGAAGTATGAAGTTCAAAAATAGCTTTAAGCACGCCTTTAATCTCAGCACTGGGAGGCAGAGGCAGATGGATCTCAAGGAGGTCAGAAACCTGTGAAAAATAAAAAAATATGAGAAAAAAGGCTTTAAAGATTTAGCCTTCTTACGTCTCTTTTCCTGCTTGCTTTTGTCTTAGCTGTTCTCAGAGACTAGCTAGTCCTCTTCCATCACCACCAGCCTGTTTTAGTGAAGTGCGTCAGTCTCCCAACTGCTTCAGTTTTCATCTCCTGAAAACCCATCTGGTCATTTTTGGTTTTGATTTTTCTTCAAAGCTCTGGAATCTGTCCATTTGGCACCGTGCGGGTGTCAGGGCTGCCTGGTCCCCATGTTCTGTGCTCTACTTCAGACCCCTTATGTTGGCAGGGCACATGCTTGTGCTTCGCAGAGGGTGTGCTGGTTGAGTGTGCTAAAGGTGATTGGATGTGTACAGGCCTGTCTTAGAAGGAATTCTGGATGACAGATGAGTCATCGTCTTGGTCCATATGGCTTTGGAGAAGCGTTCTGCTAACCGTGGGTGGAAATCAGCGCAGTGGATACAAGCCAAGGGAACACTAAGTCGGGTGGGGGATGGTGTGTTCCTCCTGGCCAGCGCCATCCTTGTCAAAATGTTCGGTGTTATCTACCTTCATGGTGCTTGGAAAAGAAACACCCATTTTTGTTTTTGAAGTAGAGTCTCACTGTGTAGCTCAGATGACTCCAAACTCCTGATAATCCTCTCTGTAGCCTCCCAAATGCAGGGATTAAAGATGGGAGCTACCATGGTTGGTTTTCAAAAGATTTTTATTTGGTGCATTGGTCAGCTTGCATTGTTATGACAAGGGTTAAGATGAGTCATGGGTGAACAAAAAGTTTTATTTAGTTTGAAGTTGTGTGTGTGTGTGTGTGTGGGGGGGTATATTAGCTACTCTTCTGTTGCTGTGATGAGATACCATGACCAAAAGCAGTTTGTGGAAGAAAGAGTTAAATTTTTGCTAGGGCTCCAGAGTGAGTCCATAATGGCAGGGAAGACCCGGCTTCAGGCAGCTGGAGCAGGAAGAAGCAGAGGGGTCATACTTCAGCAGCAGACACAAACAAAGCAAGATAACAAAATGGAAGTGTGGCAAGGCGAGTGTGTGTGTGTGTGTGTGTGTGTGTGTGTGTGTGTGTGTGTGTGTGTGTGTGTGTGTGTGTGTGTGTGAGT